TAGCACGATGATACCTCCAATGATAAAACGGAATTTGAACCCGCTACTTCCACTCCACTCTTTGGAAGTTTAGGGGGACAGTCGATAGATACCCCTTTGGCACGGAGTGTTTAATTACAGTTATCAACAAGCAGCCAATAGGTAACCTTAGAAAACAGCTTTTTTTATATCAAATTAAAACGCCAAGAGTGCGAATGCTATGACAGGAACTGTTTATTTAAGATTTAGGAATCAATTGATTTCACTGGAGAAAAAAAATGAAAACAAAGCATAATATTAGTTTCTTTTTGTCAACTTATAAACTTTGAAGGTATTTACTCAAGTTCACTAAAATGGCAATTAGAACCTCTATCTACTCAGGTTCCACAGTGGACTGATCGTTAAGACACGGTTCCCAGCAGATCACCGAAGTCAAGCATCAATGGCTGCGGTCAGTGTGCGGGTGGGTGACCACTTGGATTAGTCTGCGTAGGGACATATGGTGTGCGGTATTGGTCCTCGTTAAACTGTTCTACCGTAAAGTGCTCGACTTCGCGTGCAGGTCGTCGGGCTAACGAAGTGGGGTGCCATCTCCTCTGCAGAGGATCGAAATTGTGATGGCATGTCTTCGGATCATCCTCGGAGTTGTTTCCCAGACCGTTGCCAATAGCCCATTGTGCCGCTCTAGTGCGATGTAAATGAACTGCAACAACATATCTACTCAGCTTTTCAATTTCAGACAAGAGAAACACACTGTGATAGCAAATACCTGTTCTTATCAACACACTCTCCAATCATTGATAGCATGGTTCTTAAACCACTGATAACGTTAGAATAATTCTAAGACCCAATCGACTTCTAGTGAACTGATCGTAAGACACAGTTCACAGTAGATCTTTGAAGTCAAGCGTCACTGGAAGCGGTCAGTGAGCGGTTGTGTGATCACTTTGATCAGCTTGTGAGGAACTCGAGGGTGTTCGGTTCTAGTTAAATTGTTCTACCGTTAAGAGCTCTACTTCGTGCTCCAGTCGTTGGGCTATTTCACTGATAATTCTCGGATAAACGTCACAGATAAACTCTCATAATCGAATGACTTCCATGTCTATAATTAAACAAAAAAAAATGCACTGCAAAAGAAAAAATAGTTGAGTGTCAAATGCTCTTTAGAAGTATTAATGATTCGCACGTTATATTTAAACGGAAAAAGAACAGCCTGCTAATATGCTACGGGAATTTGTTGATAATATTTGAACCTGGGTTTACTAAAAGTTTCAAAATTGCTGAGCGACTGCAATTTCCAAAACCAACTCACATTGCAGTCGCAAAGCTATTTTTACCAATGCTCACAGGCTATCAACGATCTTGCAACACCTAAGATACCATATATCGGAGCTTATCGAAGAGTTCGAATCACACAGGATACCATTTATCACACAGGATACCATTTATGAACTCTCAGCAATCTGTATACTGTATATCGAAGCTTATTAAAGAGCTCATATCACTCAGAATACCATGTATCTGCCCCTATTAATGAACTCGTAACAATCAGCGAACCATATTCAAAACGCTCGAATCACTCAGGATAGCATTGATCACAGACTATTAATAAACTCGCAACATTCAGGATACGACAAATTATTATGAAACTCGTAACACTCAAGATACCGCAGCTTATTATGAGACTCGTAACACACGGGATACCAAACTTTATTAATGAACTCATAACACTCATAATACCAAATTTTGCAGCTTATTTAAAAACTTTCAATATTCAGGATATCATAGTTCGCAAGACATTTACGAACTCAATAAACTCAGGATAGGATTCATGCATTATGAAAGAAATCACAAACCTCAGGAAAACTTGGTTTGAAGTTTATTACCAATTTCAAAAACTCAGGGCACCATAATTTAGTGGCTATTTAATAAATTACTGGCTACCGAAAATCATTATTATTCAATCCAACATCTATTTTTAATGTGGTAGGTACTTTATTTACGTCGCACTAGAGTTGCACAATGGGCTATTGGCGACGGTGTGGAAAACATCCCTCAGGATGATCCGAAGATATGCCATCACAATTTTGATCCTCTGCATTTGGTAGCCGTACGACCTGAACGTGAAGCCGAGAACATTACGGTAGAACAGCTTAACAAGGACTAATACCGCACATCCTCGGTCCCTACGCAGGCTGATCAAAGTGGTCACCGGCCTGCTTACTGACTGCAGCCAGTCATGCTTGATTTCGGTGTTCAACCGGGTACGGTCAGTCCATTAAGGGACCTATTTTTAACGAATCTATACATACACGAATGATAACGAGAAATATATTAAATAATATAAAGAAATTTCCATTCAACTAAAAGTTTTCTTTCACTTAACCTGTTAATTCGATCTCCACCACCCGAAGATTTCTTGTGACTAATGCCCGCTAAATCTGTCGGGGTCATAAAGTCCTCCAATTTCTGATAGCAAATCGATACCCCTGGGGATACTGAATTGCAGATTGATTGCGCTCTTGTTTAAGACAAAATTGCGATCTGCGAATGGATGTGAATGGATGTGATTGCGTCCTCCATGTAAAACAAGCTGTGACGTATGTATGTTGTCTCCAGTTCATCCTCAGGGATCCTCAGGATCGTCACCAATAGCCCATTGTACAGCTTTAGTGCAAGGTAATTAAATGTACCAGTAGCACTTAGCCAGTTAACTGGTTGCTGCGATATGTTTCGTCATGTACGAAATATTACTACAATCGACATAAATTTTCGTCATGGAAATTACTTCAGGAGTGATAATGTTACTTTTAACTATGAAGAAAAAGAAACCATTGTGGAACGAACTGAACACAAGTTGTTTTTTCCGCAGTTGACTGGTTAAATCTTAAGATAATATATTTGCTTACCAGAACTAGTTTGGAGGTAAAATTATAATTGCCTTCCTTAATGAAACACGTGTACCCAAAGAATTTTTTTTTTCAAAAATAACTTTATTTTTAATTTTTACTTATTATTTGAAATGAACATGATGACTTGAATAACTTTAAATGAAACAGCATCATAATTTTCTACTACTTCTTTACAAAAAATCAATTTCAAATGACAAAAACAGAAACTAATCGTTGTTAAAGCTCCAAAGAAGTAAAACTTAAGAAAATTATTTTATTTTTAAATTTTTATTTATCGGAGTTTATTCGACCATTTTTATTTAATTATTCGATTAAATCATAAGAAATAACTTTGCTAAGATGATGTATATAATACGTTTCATCGAATTAAAAATGTGCGATCATCATATGACATAATAAACAATGAATAGTTATATAAATAATATTTTACTAGAAAAATTTTTGGGGTGAGCAAGTTTTATAAATGGAGGCAAAAAAGTTATGATTTGTGCAAATTTTTGGGGGTTTATTTTGAAATAATAAAGAAATAATAAATAAAGCTGCCCGGTTTTTTCCTTATTTTCCCGTGTTTACTATCAAATCATTTTTTTTCTTTTTCTGACGCTGAGCTTTAAAGGGAGAAAATTCAATTTTTACCTAGAAATATATTAGAAGAGAGTAATCTCTCGCATGTGATTATTATTGCATAAGAAACGATATAAATTATAACCCTTGACATTTTTTTACATTATGCAGAATACTTTTATAGAACATATCTTCACATTTTGGTTGCTAAAGAAAATCTCCTGGACTCAAATGAGTTATTTATTTGCCATAAATTTTTTTAAAAGATTACTTGCGTCATGTTTCTTAACTTTCTTAATTTAATTAAACATTTTGCCCAACGAAAGCACTCCCAAATATGGTTTTACATAGACAATCGTTTATAAAAAGCAAGCAAATGCAAACTATCTAAAAATATAATTTTTTAATTCATAAAATTATTCCAAATATTGTCCAATATATTAGACACTGTGTCTAATGAGGCTATGCAATTATCTTAATGTTTTACGGATTTCAAATTCGTTGAAAAAATGTATATTTATTCAGGGAAATTGCGTTTTTACGTTTGATTTCGTAACTCTAGTTAATTTATAACCTTGCCATTAACATATTTACAGTTTTACTTTTGAATCACTGAAATTGCTGCTTAATATGTAAAAATCTGATAATTATATCAAAAGTTAGGAAAGGTTATTTGCTTTTGTCTTTGCGGATAATCCATGCAACAGCAACAAAGAGGAAAACTGGGCATAAAAATAACTGCAAAAAAATCTATCAACATAAAATAAAGAAGACTCATACAGCAGTGTATAAAAATATAAAAATGGAAGTAGAACACATTCTTCAATCTATTTTTACTAGGATTTTAATAATATAGATTAAGTGTGATGCGACCTTATATATTCAATATATTTCATATGATAATTATGAATATTTTTCTATGATAAATATAAACTAGCTATGAAGTTATAAACTAATAAATTGAAATATTTTCAGTAACATTGTTTAATGATAATTATTGACATTTGTAAAAATAAGGCATATTATAAGTTTAATTCTTCATTATTTAGAAACTAAAATTTTCACAATAAAATTGACATATTTATTAAAACATTTTACATATTAGCTAACATAGTAACTAAAGTTACTCAACATAAATAGCATAAAAGTAATAATTTTTTAATAGGACTTCATATCATAAAATAATACAAATTCTAAAAAATATTCATTTTCCTAAAAATGTATTTTTTCACTTACTTATGCTTATCTTGCAAATGCTCGTAATGTTTAAACTCAGAACTATATTAAAACTTAGATAGTTGATTATAATACAGAAAAGAAAGTCCGCAAATAGTGATTTAAGGTATTGCTATTATTTAATTACGAACGAAATTGTTTTTATGGCAAGAGAAGTGGAACTATCACATTCTAGTCGATTTAATCGACATAGTCTAGGCATTCATAAAATTAGTCAGTAAGAATTTTCTCTCAAACGTCGTTCTAATCTTTACCAAAACTTATCAGATTCACTATGAAGGTTGAAGGATTAAGAATATCCTGCTAGTTTTAAGGAGTCGAAATGTTATCCTGAACAACAGAAGAACCGAAAACTAATCTTCGAATATAATCTTCAACGTCTGGTGCACTATTAACATAAGACACAATTGCAGGTTCTGTTGAAGAAAGTAAACTGTTCTGGTAAGTCGAATTGTTATCATGATATCCAGACTCCAATCTTTCAGAAAGCACTTCCCTGTCTGTACCACCATTAGCATATGGCAATGATTGAGCAATAGCAGGTACGTACTGTTGCTGATAGTTCTGATGAATTGAAATGTTTTCTTGAACACTTGATGAACTAGTTATTAAACTACGATCACTGCCTGTTGCACTATTAACATATGGTAAGTAGATAGGCTCTGCAATGCTAGGTAAATAAAGAATATTTTGTAACATTGAAGAATAGTTTTCTGCATTTCCAAATTCACAAGTATTAGGCGAATCTTGATTTCTAACTAATAATTTGTCTGTCTCACTAAAATTGTCATTAAATACATAATTCAGTCCAGATATAGGGCGTGATACACAAGGGAAATTCTGGAGTTCCATAAAACCATCGTTTACTATAGGTACCATATTTACACTGTTTGGGAAAAAATGGGTATCTTGAATACTACTTGGATCTTCTAAAGTACTGCTTAATACGCTGTTTGCTTCTCTAGTTGTTTGGTGGTCTTGTGTGGGTACAATATAAGAAATGTAAGGGTAGTATTGAATGTTATGGGGGTCAGTATGTTCAATTTTCGATGTATTGGGAATATGAGAGATATTCTCTATATCTAAGGGTCTAATCGCTAAACTATGTTCCTCCAGAAGTGGGTCTGATAGTCTATTTGCTTCATTAAATGTAATATTATTTGTGCAATGCAAAGGAGGAGGGATGTTTTGATAAAACTGAAACTCCTGGGGAGTCAAATAGTCATAATTGTGCGTCTTTTCAGCTGTTCCTGTATCATATAAACCGTGAATATTGAAAGAACTATCAACCAATCTATTTTCCTCTAGATTTCTGTTTAATTGTCTACTGAATTCTCTAGGTGCATTATTCTGCATAGAGTATGAAGATTCTCCTATTTTACAATTGTAGCTGAAACTCTGAAGTTTGTGAGATCCATACTCTCCAGCTATCGGAAAATCATGGCTACTTGAATTATCTGAAATTTGTTTCTCCATATAACTTTCTGAAATTTTATTTTCATCTCTAAAACTGAAATTTTCTTCTCTAGAAGTGACATTTTCTTCTCCAGAATTGACATTTTCTTTTCTAGAAAGGACATTTTCTTTTACACTAGGTGCAGATACAGGATGTGTTCTGAAAGATAAATCTTTACATTTCTCAAATGATACTAAGACATTTGGGTCTGTAGATTCATTTTTTATATAGTTAGTTGAAAAATCGGAGATTAATATATGCTGTTCAGCATTAGAGGGTAATGCTGTATTTACATCTCTAACTTCATTTTCTTCATTAAATGTTGATTTAGGATTCTCGAAGTACGGTAAATTCTGACATTTCTGGAACGACACAAGAACATCATTTTCTGTTGATTCATTTTTTTCATAGTTGGTTGAATGGTAGGTAGTCAATCTAGTTGAAAGATCGGGATACAAAATATTCTGCTCTAAATTAGTATTTGGTACTGTATTTACTTTTGTAGAATTGAAACATTCTTTGTCGTTTGAAATAGTTACGGGTTGTTTAGAAGTCGGCAAACCATAGTTTCCTGACGAGGAATTTTTCTCTTCTTTAGGCGAATAGGAAATATTTTCGCTGTTCCTAGTTTCAGTGACTAATACTTGTTCCTCAAGATTGTAATCCATCATTCTATTCTCCTCTATTAAAGTGATACTACGTATATATACAGCTTTAGATACTGGCTCTTTTATAAAGGGAAAGATCTGAGAGGATTCAGTTAAAGTCACGTTTTCTACTGATGCAGTTTCTTCAGATTTTGATGTCTGCTGAGTGACGTTTTCAGGTAAAATTCTCGAAATGTGAGAACAAATCTCGATGTTTTGAGATTTCTCCAAATCTTTAACCTCTACCGTTTTAATGGAGTGTTGAGTATTCTGAATATTTGAAGAACCAGCAACTAAATTGGTTTCCTCCAGATTATTTTTCGATACTTTTTTTGATTTTATAACAGTTACAATTCTTTTACAAAGAGCCTTAGGTACAGGTGATGATATGGGAGGAAAGTTTTCAATTGAAAATTTTGGCACGTCTAAGGATTCCGCTTTCATATTATTTAAGAGTATTCGTTGCAATTTTGATTTCTCAGTGCTTACATTATTCTCAAATTGAGCGGTAACAGCTTGGGTAGTATTATTATACTGGTATAAAGTCTGTTGAATGGGTGAGTCTGTAACAGATCTTGGTTTCGAATTAATATTCTTTGAACGTACAGTCTGCTTTTTTAGCTCTTTGTCACTACACTGGCTCTTATATTGAGCTGACGCAACTTGTGAAGTGTTACGAAACGGCTGAGAAGTCTGTTGAATCGAAGGGTCTGTAGCAGATCTTGGTCCAGAATCCTTTGAACGTACAATTTGCCGTTTGGAATCTTTGTCACTAAACTGGCTCGTATATTGAGCTGACGCAATTTGTGAGGTATTATGAAACTGTTGAGAATTCTGTTGAATCAAAGAGTTCGTATCAGATCTTAGTTCCAAATTAATATTCTTTGAACGTACAGTTTGCTTTTTCGGCTCTTTCGTACTAAACTGGCTCACATATTGAGCTGATGCAACTTGTGAGGTATTATGAAACTGTTGAGAATGTTGAATCGAAGGATCTGTAAAAGAACTTAATTCCGAATTAACGTACAGTTTGGAACGTACAGTTTGCCTTTTTGGCTCTTTAGTGCTAAACTGGTTCTTATATTGAGCTGACGCAACTTGTGAAGTGTTATGAAACGGCTGAGAAGTCTGTTGAATCGAAGGGTCTGTAGCAGATCTTGGTCCAGAATCCTTTGAACGTACAATTTGCCGTTTGGAATCTTTGCCGCTAAACTGGCTCGTATATTGAGCTGACGCAACTTGTGAGGTATTATGAAACTGTTGAGAATTCTGCTGAATCAAAGAGTTCGTATCAGATCTTAGATCCGAATTAATATTCTTTGAACGTACAGTTTGCTTTTTCGGCTCTTTCGTACTAAACTGGCTCCCATATTGAGCTAATGCAACTTGTGAGGTATTATGAAACTGTTGAGAATGTTGAATCGAAGGGTCTGTAGAAGATCTTGATTCCGAATTAACGTACAGTTTGGAACGTACAGTTTGCCTTTTTGGCTCTTTAGTGCTAAACTGGCTCTTATATTGAGATGATGCATTTTGTGAAATATTATGAAACTTCTGAGAATTTTGTAAGATCGAAGAATTTGTAACAAATCTCGGTTTCCTTTCAGCATTTTTTGTACTTAAAATCGGCCTGCTTGGTTCCCTAGCATTAACAGGATACCCATATTGAGCAGATGTAGCTTGTGAAGTTGGATAAATATTGTAAGAAGTATGTACAGTCGACGGATTTCTAACTTTTTTTGGACCCGAACTCATGTTTTTTGAAGGTACATTTCGACATCTCGCCTGATTCTTACAATGGACTAATACATCTTCCGAAGCATCATGAGGATGGTGTGATGTCTGTAAAATTGAAGGGTCTGTTACCGGTTCCCGTCCAACATATTTAGAATGTATATTTGGCCTGCTGGATTTTGTAGTGGTAATTTGACTCTGGCATTGGGTCGATGTGTTCGATGCAACTTGCGAAGTATGAGACATATGATGAATCGAAGAGTCTGCAGCAGATCTAATGTTCTTTGAAAGTATATTTTGTCTGATTGTTTCAATAGTGGCATCTTGATTCTCATTAACAGCTGATAGATCTTGTGAAGTACTTGGAGAATTTCGTCTTATCTGAAGATTTGAAACAAATCTTGGTTCTTTTTTATTATTTTCTGTAGTTATATTATCTATATTAGGAGTTCTAAAAAAAACTCGACTCTTATATCGGACTGATGCAGATTGTTCATCATTATGGGATCTGTATGAAGTTTGCAACACTGAAGAGTCTGAAGCACTGGTTGGCTGCAATTTTTCATTTTTCGATCGTATGTTTTGTCTGTTTTGTGGCCTGCCGATATCATTGCTCCTGTACCAATCAAAAACAGTCTGCGATGCATGCTGAGATAAATGTGGAGTTGGTAGATTTGAATGACCATCATATCTTGACCCTCTTTTAACATTGCTTGATCGTGCGTTTTGCCAATTGTGTGTCCAATTGTTAAAATTTCTCTCATATTGACCAAAGACAGAATAACTATGAGTCATGGATAATTGATTTGGACTCTGTTGCAGCGAATGCTGAGTTACGTATCTATTACTTATCGGACCCATCTTTTGCAAGTTTGGTTTTCTACGTGTAATTTGGCTTTCATATTGGGATGATTCACCTCGTGAAGTATTATGAAACCAGTGTGAAGACAGATGAGAAGGCGATTCTGAAGTTGCAGGAATTGCATTTTCTTCTTTAGATGCAGTTTTTATCAATCTAAAATGTGAGTCTGGGGATATGGAAGTTGCAGGTTTTTCTCTTAATGGGGATTTTATCACTTTAGAATGGGGAGATACTGGTAATGTTGAAATTGCAGATTTCCCTCTATATGCCGTTTTTGAAAGTTTAAAATTCGGATCTGCTGAAGTAGTAGCAGTCGCAGATTCACCAGTTTTTAGTTTTAAAGGCGATTTCGATGAAGGGATGTTTTTCGTACTTTCTAAAACTGAAGTTTTTTCTTTAAATGAAACGATCTTCCTTGCCCCGGCGACATTCTCAAAATTATCTGCATCTATTTGCACAATTTCATCTTGAGATTCATTACATGAGCGTTTTTTGGAGCATTCTTGAACAAAATCTTTTTCAAAGCCACTGTTTTGTAAAGCATCAGAAATATTTGTAGTTTCTGTATCATCAGATTGATTTGATTTTTCTGCCATTATACAATGCAATTCTGATGATAGTTTTAAAAAGTATTTAAATTGTATTTCAAATTCTGTATTTACTACTTTCTAATGACACAAACTTAAATCAAGAAATTCGTCTATATCATATTATTTGGATTTGTTGCATCAAGCATGGTCATACCAAAGTTGCAATAGAACACGTTGTTTTCTTTTCTTTGAACTTAAAACTGTTTCAAATAAACGAGCATAAAATATTATTATAAAATAAATAGCTTCCGTTAAGTAACTTACAAATATTTCCACATCCAAATGCAGTTTGTATTAACACTTAAATGCTTTATCTGATAAAGAAAAATACAGAGCCTCTTTTGTTTTGATATTTGTTTATATCAGGCGAAAATGCACTTGCCATCACAAGTTCTGATAAACTTAGTTAGGTCATTTTAGAAAAGTAGTGCACAAATCGGAAACTCAATTTTTTCAACTTTTGAGTTCAATCCATCTGCTTATATCCAGCTGCATTTTTAATCTTTTTACGAACGTCACACAAGTTTTGTTCTTTGATACTAGACGGCGTAAATTCTCATTTTAAAACTCCCATTAACTAATATTTTTTATTTTCTTTTTTTTGCAATATCCTACACTATTATATTATTCTTCGTTGGTTAAAGTATGATTATTAAGTGTATTATTCTTTAATGCTACAGTACCAAATTTACAGTTGCGTAGTTTTTCAAACCTTGAGTTCACGTTCTGAAGTGTAAAGGTCACGGGTTCCGTCCCAATAGTTTTTTTTTTATTATTATCTCTGTATATTTCTATAATTCATCTTACCTGCTTTTAAACTAGACAAAAACTTATAGGCCTTTTTAGCACGCATACAGCAGATTTATATAGGAATAAATGATTAACTTCATAAAGAAACTATGTGGTTGTGCGTTTAAGCCCTCATCAATTTGAAGGACAAGAAAAATTAAGATTTCACACCATAACGGAAAGTTTAATACATCCTGTACCTCGAACCGGGTGGGGAATCTTACTGCTTACAAGTAAAAAATATACAAGACCTTAATTGAAGAAGAGGCCTCTTCAGCTTAGGGTCGTTGTCCTTCCACTGAACGCACTGAAGCATAGAGGCAGTGGGTTCAAATCCTATTGTAACCTTGGTGTTGAAGTTGTTGTTGCAGCAGTTCATTTACATCGTACTAAAGCTGCACAATGGGCTATTGGCGACGGTCTGGGAAACATCCCCAGAGATGCCAACTGCTCCGGACACGCCAAAATAAGTAAAAAAACAGTAAATAGCTACAAAGTAAATTTTGAAACTACTTGACTATTTTTGCTTGCTTTTTAAAAGGTATAGCATGACCTAAGTACTATAAAGTGGGGAATTATATAAGCCTACGAATTATTTAGAAATAGTGGTGGATAAAAATCTACTAAATTGAATTTATTAAACCAAGAATCACAATTGTTAAACTACCACTTTAAAACATATATTTGCTGTCCGGAGCAAGTTGGCATTTCTGCATCCCTGAGGATGATTCGAACACATGCCATCACAATTTTGATCTTCTGCAGAGGGGATGGCACCCCCGCTTCGGTAGCTCGACGGCCTGCACGCGGAGTCGAGCACTTTGTGGTAGAACAGTTTAACGAGGACCAATATCGCACACCCTGGGTCCCTACCCAGACTGATCCAAGTGGTCACCGTCCCACTGTGGACTGATCGTTAAGACACGGTTCCCAGCAGATCACCGAAGTCAAGCATCACTGGCTGCGGTCGGTGTGTCAGTGGGTGACCACTTGGATCAGTTTGCGTAAATGAACAACAACAACAACAACCAAGTGGTCACCCTCCCGCACACTGACTGCAGCCAGTGATGCTTGACTTCGGTGATCTGTTAGGAACCGTGTCTTAACGATCAGTCCACTGTGGGACATAGTAACCTTGAAAGCATCCTTGTGCAGTGCTCTACTTTGTTCTACCTGTTCGTCTACTAGACAAATGCTTATAATTTGTTCAGGGTCTTGTTAGGTAGATACCTGATTTTTATACTAGATTTTCGTAGGTAGGTACTTGACTTCACTAGATCTTCCCAATGGGCTATTGGCGATGGTCTGGGAAGCGTCCCTGGGGATAATCCGAAGACAAGCCATCACAATTTTGATCCTCTGCAGAGGGGATGGCTCTTCCGCTTTGGTATCCAAACGACTTTCACGGGAATTCAAGCACTTTACAGTATAACAGTTAAACAAGGATCTCGACCACTCACCCTCGGTCCCTACGCAAACTGATCAAAGTGGTCACCGACCCGCTTACTGACCGAAGACAGTTATTCTTGACTTTGGTTGAGCTAAATAGTTTGCATATGTGCAAAAATAAATGAATAAATTGAAGTTTAACTAATTTCACTCAGGTTTAAGAGACACGAATTTTAGGGGAGGATGTATTGGAGACTTAGATATACAGGCTAGATATATGTTGGTTACAGGTTCGTGTCCCGAGACGATTACAGAAACTAAGTGGGAATAGCCTAAAAATTTTACTAAAAATCCACGGTGTATTAAAAACTTAGATTTCAGACAGCAAAAGTGGAAGTCACAATTCCGTGCCCGGAAACCTCAACACTTAGAAGCAAATAGTTTGAGCGCTTAATTGCTAGGCTAGTTTGTAGAAGACCTGATTAGTTAGGTGAAGATGGTTTTGAGATTAAGGTCATAGCCAGTGAGGTAAAACGTTAAGTTCTGAAATTGCTAGAAAACTTCATCGCTTTCAAGCAAATAACATACAAACGCTGATGCACAAAGCTATAAACTAAAATTGTAATTAATTTTCTATTTAAACTCGCAGGTTCTTCAGTAACACGTGGACACGAACCTACAACCTCTTATGTCATAACCCTAAAAAAAACTTTCCTAGAAAAGAACTATATAAGCTATTCTGTAAGGGTTGCCAAGATTCTAGATTCTACTACTTTAACGAAGAAAATTGTATTTATTTCTTTGTTATATATCTAGATATGCAAGCTCGTGTACAAAATGCAAAGTATAGCTTAAGAGAACTTATCAGAATGATGAACAGATTACAAAATTTAGAAGAGGACATCGCAAATAAACAACCAGTGTTACAGTATTTATACAGTATATAGTATTATAAATTATAGTTAAAAGAGATTCGTTCAAAGGGATTCGCTTCATGCACAATGTGATACATACACAAATTGTATTTAAATGATAATATTAAATTGCGGTTATTTGACCACCAGATTTTGAATCTAAACCCTTTTACCGAAAAATAAATTTTCATAATTTAAAAAAAAATTTGAGTAGTAGATAAGTGTAGGTACGTCGTTTCTGTTCATAGAGCGCAAGTATGTTCAACTACNACCAATACCGCACACCCTCGGTCCCTACGCAGACTGATCCAAGTGGTCACCCACCCGCACACTGACCGTAGCCAGTGATGCTTGACTTCGGTGATCTGCTGGGAACCGTGTCTTAACGATCAGTCCACTGCGGGACTCATGCACAATGTGATACATACACAAATTGTATTTAAATGATAATATTAAATTGCGGTTATTTGACCACCAGATTTTGAATCTAAACCCTTTTACCGAAAAATAAATTTTCATAATTTAAAAAGAAATTTGAGTAGTAAGTGTAGGTACGTCGTTTCTGTTCATAGAGCGCAAGTATGTTCAACTACATATTTTTTCTTTTTATTAAAGAGAATTTCCTACAAAAAAGTTATTAAAATAAAAAAAATGGAAAAAAATAATACATTTTCTTTCTCTCCGGCTAACGTAAAAATTCCTAAGTTAAAAAAACATTATCTTTGATAATAATAAATGTTAAAAGAAGCACATACAATTTTATTAAATTTTTTGTGAATTTGATTTTCAGGTATTTTTTTTCACTTTTCATTAAAATCATTATGATGCTCTAACCATAAAAATAAGAACACATAAATAATGTCAGTACATGAAACCAGACTTCGTAAGAATTAATCACGGGCAATAAAGATATTAATCAACAAATAGCTAGTGAATTCAGTCTTCTGCATTTATAGTTCTCCCAGACTTTTAAGTTTGAATAATTATGATATCTTCCTAATAATAATCACAGATATCAGAGACCTGATCGATATTTAATATTAATCGGTTTCTTGTCACAGAGAAATGTTTCTTTAGATCTTTCACCATTTCGATCTATCAGCGACGATCGTTTCCCACGACTTGGTGATCGGAGCGTCGTGATGCCATCGCCTAAATAATATTGATCAGATATAATGTCAGTGTCCGGACCATGAGAATAATATTCATAGGGTTCGTCAATTTCCGTCTCGTAGTCATCCGTTTCATATTCATCTGTTCGGAAAGTCGTGGTGGGTGGTGTGGTTACTCTGATAATTTTTCTACGTGATGGAGGTGGTTTCAAACGTTTCCGTGCGGTTGGTTTCGGTGGTGTTGCGGATGATGATTTTATAGTAACTGGCACTGTAACGTACACGTCTCTAACTGTAACTCCTTTGAAAAGAGCTTTAAGATCGATGCCTGGTCCAAGCATTGCATCGCTAATTTCGATTTGCTTAAAAGCCTTAAATGGTTGTTTCGGAGCACCTGCAGCAACCGGGTGGGATTGCGATGTTGCGTCACTGTCTATTTTACCGGGAAAGTAGTCGGTTAAACTGGGAATCTTACCAGGCGCTTTACTGCAGAGAATGGGGGTAACTTGAGTTTGTTCATAATGAGTTTCAATATCAAAACTTACGGCAGGTCGTACAGCAATGTTCGGCGGGGTATTTATAGTCAAGAATTGGTAAGCCTGATAGGCCTGCCGCTTGACGTGTTTAGAAGAGACTTCACTACCTGAAAGAATAATATCCTGGTGATAGTTTTGTTCGTCATAAGAGGTTTGTTTGGCATCAGTATAGTCCTCGTCTTGGACTGTTGAGTTTTGAAGAGTATCGCTCTGCTGAGAAAATAGAAGTTCGTTTTCAGTAACGTTAGCCGGATTACTAAGCTGTA